GACCAGTAATGGCTCATTGTGTTCCCTGTAGTTCTGACATGGTATAGTCTCTTCCATAAAGATATGGGAAGAGACACAGAAAAGACTTGCTGCTGCTTTACTGTAAAGATTCCCATGAATGGGAGACTTGTTATCTTATGGGAGAAGACATCAGTTTTTAACCTGACTGCACACATATACTTTTTTAGCATATTGATATCAAGGTGATGTTTTCAGCTAGATAGGAAGTATCTGCTTGCTTCTGTCCCTTCTTATTTCTTTCTTTTACTCATGAAAAATTCGAAGTAATTGAGAGTCACGGAGCACTCTTTTCTTCATTTAGAAAATAGCATTTCAGATGTTAAATAAACAGTAAAAAGCAGCCAATGTTGTACAGAAATCAACATACTTCATTGTGACAGAAGAGGGCAACCTAACACCATCTCACTATTCTCATGTTCCTTATCCATCTACCAACTGGTTTACAAAACTGAACATTGCATCCCATCAACAGAGACAAATAGGGCAAAGAAATTATATCTAAAAATGTTTCTAAAGTCAGGAGTCCTCCTTACCCATTTTTTCTTCAGTGTTTCTAGTTCAGTTTGATCATAACTACTGAGGTCCCTCCTACTAGCTTTGCTGTTGTTTCATCAGATTATTTGACTTTGATTTAAGATAACCTTTCTCTGTAGGAGAGCTGATGAGTTTAAAGGAGACAGCCAGGATGGGTGCAGGTGCTGCTGGTTTGCCTAGAATTGACACAACAGTATTGTAGACGCCTGCTGTCTTCAGAGATGCCAAGCTCTAGGAAGACATGAGAATAACCTAATGGGCTCAAAAAGCACCCAAAAATAGACAATGATGAATAAAAAACAACTGACAAAAAAAAAACAAAGAGAGAGACTGATGTATAGGTGATATCATTATTTGTTGCACTACTGCAGATGTTAAATGTCCTTAATTCTGTAAGTTAGTCATTGCAGTAAGGTTTGCTATACTGCTTTCAGGACTTAAGAAGTTACTGTCTCAGTTTGATCTTCAACTGTTAGAGGTAGAAGTATGGAATACCCTGAAAGTGTCATGATAAATGCAAGTTAAAGGGTAAACAATGAGAAATACACAGAAGGAAATGCTCAGAAAAGAAGAAAACGAATGAGGTTAGAAAGAAATAGAAATGAAATTATTAAGAGTAATGGAGTCTTTCATAATTATTCTGCCAAGGGGGGCTGCACAATCATTTGCATCTGAATGCAAAATGCTAAATATATTTACAACTGTAGTAGCAAACCAAGCATCTAGAAATTCATTGTAGAATCATCACAGAATCTTTTGAGTTGAAAAAGGCCCTTAAAGGTCATCTAGTACAACTGCCCTGCAATGAACAGGGACACCTGCAGCTAGAACAGGTTGCTCAGAACCCAGTCCAGCCTGATCTTGGATGTTTTCAGGGATGGGACATCCACCACCTCTGTAGGCAGCCTGTTTCAGTGCTTCGCCACCCTGATTGAAAAAAACTTCTTCCTTATATCCATTCTAAATTTTCCCTCTTTCAGTTTGAAACCATTTCCCCTTGTCCTATCACAACAGACCCTGCTGAGGAGTCTGTCCCCTTCTTTCTTACTGTCCCCCTTAAGATATTGAAAGGCCTCTATCAGATCTCCCTGGTGCCTTCTCTTCTCCAGCTGAACAGCCCCACATTCATTCATAGCACATTTCAAAAACTAAGTATCCAAGATGCCCACATGTTTGGTATAGTTTTCTACAGCACACTCATACACATTGCACGAAGGGAGAGTCTCAGAGCAGTGTTTTCTCCACTCTGGATAACATTCTGTAACTATACAGAAAGTAAGAGCAAGAAGTAGTATCTCTTCACAGCTGAAAATATGCACCTTTTTTGTGCCTTAATACTCTTTTAATCTGTTCCCACAACCGTTTCTACAAGCAAACCTTGTACCAGTTTCACTATACTGGTAAAAGATGAAGCTCCTCTGTGTAAGGTCATGTTGACCAGGATAAAGTACTCAACAAGAATAAAAGGAATCAAAACACAACAAGCTACAATGAAGTAAAAAGGAAGGAAAAATTGTTAATCCTATCAATCTTCATGTGTATATGCCCAGGCCTTGGAAGCGCACAGGAAAGTACAAACTTAAAAAGGTGCATTCCTCACTCTGCATGTGCAATGAAGAGAGCAGGACAACATCAATTAGATCCTCTGGAAATTATAAATATCAGCAGAGCCAACTGTGCTTTCTCTGCTTTCTCTGCTGTGATTGCTCTCACCTTTGCAATTCCCCTTCATTTCCCTGTATACTTCCTATCTTTGCTATTTATCCTTATCTCTTCTCAACTGTGCATCAAATTTCATTCAGTCCTGGAGCATAGTAAATAATCCAGAAGGGGCCCAGAAATGAAGCTCAGTAGCAGATAATCCTGCTGGACCATCAGCTACACCCTTTCCTATCATCAGCATGACACATAGTACTGATGTGGTTGAAAATCACTTGTCATCACCTTTATTTACCTAGTTCAAATGAACACATTTATAGCGAGTCTAAAGTAAAGATAGACTTTCTGGCTTCATAGAAAATCAGGCTGCTCACTTGCTCTGCATTGTGCTATGTGGTCTCACTGAGCAAATAGCACTAAAATCTTCTCAAAAACACTCATCAAGAACTTACCCATACTCAGTTTCCAGTGGCTAATGTATTTATTAACTAATCCTAAAGCACAGAAGTTCTGTATGAAATCATATTTTATCCAAGTAAGATTTATTTTCTGTCAAATACTAGATAATAGATTCTACGTACAGACAAAGAACTGATTACAGAGCAGTACCTAAGCATGGCTGTGATCAGCAGAATGGAAGATAAAATCATGGATAGCTGCCAGAATTAAAATATTATAAGAATAGAAAATGCTGAATGCACAGGATAGATACAAAACTGTATGTATTTAACATTGACACACTTCATTTTCATGGAGTGCTAAAATAGCCACAACTCCTGTCAAAAAGCTGGGCAAGGAAAAGGGTAGGCCAATGGGTTCAGCACAATATCAACACCAACAGAGCCCCACAGAGGCACGAATGCAGCTTGATATGGCAGGAATGTTACAGGCTTAGAGCCACCATCTCTCTTCATAGTCCATCAAGGTAGTTTGCTTAAAAAGTTCTGTTGGTGTGGAATACACAGCTCTCCATTCAGCATGATTTCATAGCGCACACATAAGTAACTCATATATAAATATGTGCCAGAAAAAGATTTGTTGGCTTACTTACAGTTTTCATACCTCACCTGTGCTTTCAAGTTCCTGCACGAGTTTGGAAGAAGATAAATTAGTCACCATTAGCAGAAAAAAAGATTTTTCTGCACTTCTAATAGAAATATTCTTTGTGTTAAAAAAATAAAAAGACAAACTGCCATTTATCAAAGGTTACAATTGTATTAGTCCTTCAGAAATAGATCTGTTCAATTGCATCCATTTTATCACAGTTGTGCCTTCTGGTTACGGTTAGTAAGAGTTAACACAGTAGCAGCATTTGTTCATCCAGTTCAGACCAACAATGATTCCAGTAAATTAAATTGTTAAAAACGGGGCATGTTTTCTTGCACAATCAAGACATCTCCATGTGCCACTTATGAGCAGATGTACTGAGGTCAGTATCAAATTTGATACTGGCAAAACCAAGGTGACAATTTTGCCTCTAAGTCAGACAAGAATAAAAAATATTTGCCTTTAACCTTACAGCAACCAGATCCTGTAGACTGAGCATGAGTGAGAAAATGGATTTATTTTTTTTCATTATTTGTTATAAAGTTTTCAAGAGATTCATCCTGTTAATTAATATTTTAATGTATGCACAATGGAGTTGCTGCAGGCTGGACTTTAGGAACACATATTCAAGACTGGATATAGGATGATAGATAAACAATCTCATTCCTACACAGGGCCCAAATTCTAAGGGTGGTGAATATGCCCTAACATATTTGTCTGGAAGAAACTGAGTTTGGTTCTAACTCCACAGGCTTCTCCAGAAATTCTCAGGAAATGAGCTAAGCCTTTCTGGTCAGACATGACAACATTGCAGATGAGGTGTGGAGCTGATCATGACCCCCCATCGACTTTGAAATTTACCACTATAGGCTTCTATGCACTGTGCTTCAGAAACTGGAGATGGAAGATGCAGTTGGAGCAGCCCCTGAGCAGAGAGCAGCTGGACCCAGTCACATAGAGAATATTGCCTATGCATGGAGATAAGGCTCAGACACAGTGGAATAATGTTTCAGAAATTTCGGATGGATAGTTTTTATTTTCAAAAGGCAGTAGGGAATGTAAGGGATTTGCCTCTGGCACTTGGTACAGACCTGGGAAATATAAAGTACAAGAATCCTAAACTAAGAGGAAGACAAAGATGATTCTTCTACAGGCATTACTTCAGTAAATATATATATATAAAATACATTACCATGCAGTAATTAGTCCTGGGCAGCTACACCTAAAAATAGCCAGGGACCACCAGGGTACCACCAGGGATTTCTATTGATCAACTCAAAATCCGCCCAGTTCAAAATCCATCCAAGTCAAAATCCAATCCAAAACTCATCTACTTACTTAACATGGACTGGAAAAGTTGTATTTTAGATACAAAATTTGACTTGTATCCTCTTCCTATCTACATTGTTTAACACATCATTTAGTATATATTCTCATATAAGTGAATGACAAGAGTTAATATGAGAGCTGACTGGATGTGCATTGAGATCTTATTAATTATACCAAGTGTTATTTATCTTAGCTACTCAAGTTTATAAAATAGAGATATGCAGCTCAAATATTTGAGATTTGGTAACGTTTACCTAGTACTGATACTCTCACTAATCCCTCTGACTTGTATATACATAAAACCAGTGAAAACCTGCAGCACAGGAAATTAGTGAGAGCCAACATGCAGAACCAAACTTACGACTGAGGCACAAATTAAATTATTTTCAAAACAAAAATCCAAACTGCTGTTCAAAATTCATTCTGCCATTTATTCTGAAATATCAGTCACAAATGACAGAAGCTGCCGAGCTTGTTCTGTACATAGTATTGCCCACTAACAACTCTACTCCAAACTATGTAGCAATAGGACCATGCTTGCTCCCAGTTCTGCAGCATGCACTCAAGCAGCATATACTCAAGTGTTTTTCAAAATGTGTCTGTCTCTATTCATATGATTTCAAGAACAGGGAATAATCTACTTTCAGCATTTTCAAGAACAAAACCTGAATGTACTACTGAGATTATATTTCTCATAAAAGATGTCCTGATCCTTTCCTTGTCTTATAAAAAAGTTTTATTTTTCAATAGAAAAGTATATTTAAAAACACAATTGTTTGCTAAAAGCAATATAAAACTCTTCATTTTTAACTCCATAAAAGTTTAACAAAACATAAATATTGTTTGCCACTTACATTCCTATATACAGGCTTTGCATTAAATATTTACATATGTAATAAACTCGGGAATGAATGGCACATGACTACAAGGGATTGAAATTCCACATCACACTGTACAGTCACAGGAACACAAGGAGCAGCTTAAAATCCTCAGTCACTACATTGTTTTGTCCTGTTTACAGCTATTGTCCTCTTTTCTCTGCAATAATGCACCAGTTTCCATGGTCATAGCAGGAAGAAAGTATCAGAAGCTCAGGCACATTCTCTTCTATCAGAGAGCAAAGCTCCCCTTCCCGAAAAACATGATAATAGCGCATGAAGGCTTTTGTATCCAGTGTGTCATCACTTTGGTCCCCAACAGACACTGCTGAATCCAAAGCAGAGTCAGTGGAGTCAGTTGTTGAAGTTCTTTTGAAAAACTTGCTGGCATTAGACTTAACAGCATCATCTTTATTACAGCTGCAGCTGTGGTCCTTTTCTTCCACTGGGCCATTTATAAATGTAGCTTCTTCATCTTTGCTCTGAGCTGCACTTCGGTGTCCTCCATTTAAACTCAAATCCTTCAGTGCATGTATGGCTTGTGACCATGGCAGTTTTTTGACAGGTGAGCTTTCTACAAATACATCATCATCATCTACACATTGTTCTTTTAGCAGTGCCCTATGATGACCTAAATCCAAACTGCAGTGTCGTGACTGCTGAATAGGCACGGTACTGTTTGTCCATTCTCCTTCATTCTTCAGAGGCTTCAACTTTTCAGTTTGCTTTCTGAGGGCTGATTCATCAAGGGATCTGGAGAAAAACCATGAGCGGAAAGATCTTCCAAGAGCACTGTAAAATCTATTTTCCTCTTCAGAAATTTTCATGCAGCAGGCTCTGGATAAACAATGGTCCATACTGTGGGGATGTTTTGAATCAGTTTCTGGTTGTAGATTGGTTTGGTAGCTGTACTCAGAGCTCAGTACCTCTGCAGGGTATATATCTTGGCTTTTTACTGCATGCACAAACTCTCCCTTATCTCCAGATTGATTCGATTCTGAAAAATGCCGTGAGCACAAGGCCTTGTTCCAGGGAACAAATACATCTTGTTTCTCAAAGTGGCGATTCTTTTGTTCCATAGCCCAAACATAAACCATCATCTGGCCCCCAGGCATCAGTACTCTCGCCATTTCCTTTATTGCTTTGATTCTTCTTTGTTTAGTTGAGAAATGATGGATCACTATGAAAAAGGAAAGACATTATGTATTGAATATGAGTAAGGGCAGAACATTTTCTTTTTCAACTTGTTCTATGTGTTAAATCATTTTTGTTGCCATATCACAATCATCACTCATGCAAGTCAGCAATGCTGCAGAATTTATTGGTACTGCAGCACAAGTTTACCTCTTTTATGTTCACATTCAATGGATAAAAATAGGCAAATCACAAAGGAGGACATTCATCCGATCACAAAATAGAGTTTTGAGATAAGTCAGGCACATAAGACAGAGTTTCTGTTTCTCTGCATCACCCATAAAAGAAAACAGTATGACTAGCTTTCACTAAAATACCTGGCCATTGGTTCAGCTAAGTAATATTAAGTTCAGCTTTAGGGTTTGGGACACACTTGAGATTTATCTTAATAGGAAACACAAATTCTTTCTATCATGAAACAAATACAGCGAAAAGTAATATTGGTGAAAAGAAAAAGTTTTTCATGTCAGTGTGCTTTCAAGAGAGCTCGTCAGAAAAACTAAACAGAAATATTTTCCAGTGCATTAATTCTGTAACAAAGTATTTCCTTTTTGAATGTTTATTTTGGAAGAAGAAAGATGAGAAGTGTCTCAGTCTCCATTTTCATTCCTGGGAAAGGTATTGAAAAAAAAAAAAAAAATCAAAGTCAAAATAAAACTTCTGATCACTATGGTTGAATTTTCTTTCCAGGATAATTTCCAAATTTCACTATAACATTAAATGAACTGTGTTTCAAGATTTCTGCATTGTCTATAGATTCCGGCTCACCTGAAGGAACCATTTTAACAGCCAGAGAATAGCTAAGTCAGCTCTATAAACGCCCAAAAACATTAACTTGGACTGAGATCAGTCGTGTTGGTGAGGTTTTTCTTTATATCATCAGATTGCAATATGTGATTCAAATCAACGACATATGGACTGATTCCACAGTTCAGTTCAGATGGGCCTGTAAGCAGCTACTTCACACAACCATTCAATCTACCCATATATCAAAATATATATGTTCTACCCATATATCAAAATATGTATGTTCTCAGCTTAAGTCATTTTCATATCTTCAGAAAAATTAGATTGTGTGCTGCTTGACACAGCCAATTCTTGTAGAAAGATTATTTCAGTGTTGCAGTTATGAAAACTGTGTCCAGATAGCCCTGATTTAATTCTAAACGATGATTACGTTACCAAGGGGAAAAATGAACTTTTTTTTACCATAGGCCAAAGAAAACTTTCTTGGCAGTTGATATTAACTAGGCCCTCAGAAGCATCTGACAGAAAACTCTGAGAAGAGTTTTCCATATGGTCAGTGTTTTTTTGCAGCTCCTCCTAACTGGAAAAAAAAAAAAAAAAGAACACTATTAAATAAGATGGGGAGAAAGAAACTGATATTTTCTCTCGTAATGGAGGTTAAGTTATACATCACCACTGAACCTCACGTAAAATGGCATCAAACTGACAGCATAAGCATGTGAGCTTAGTTCACCAGAATAAAGGGCTAATCAGCAAGCTCTATCTAAGCAATTCATTCAACAGATTAAATATTCTTTGTGGTTAGAATTACATAATCATTCTGGTACTTCTGCAGAAATAGAAATCCTATAAAGAGGAGAATTCCAGCAAAGCGAAGTAGAGTATTTGATTCTGCACACAAATACTTGCCATTATCTAGAATGGGATAAAAAAACACTTTATTTATAATTAGGTGGACACAGACATATCATGTCTCTGTTCAGGAGGGATTAAAATCCATTACTGCTGAAAGTACAAAAATACCACATAAACTTTTAATATTGTCAGGCCTTTTACTGGTATAAATATTAAATAGATAGGCTACCCTACAAAGTCAGCTGATCTGATAGCTTGAAATTATGCCACAAGACCTGATATTTAGATAGACCTGACAACTGTACTGAATAGTTAATACAAAACCAAATAAATGTACATATCAGTCATATATTGATCAACGTTTCTTCCCTTTAAAATGTCATGCTTACATATACTATATGTACATGTAAAAATACTTTTCAGTAATAGACCAAGTACTGTTGATTACTACCAATAATAATTTTCCCATTTTATATTTTTGCTCATGCTGGGAAACAGCCTGAGGGAAGTTCAAGCTAGCACTGAACTGAAAAACCTAGACTGTAACTGGGTACTCTGACTATTGCTCTTCATCCACCCTTTTCCAGGTTTTGTTTCTCAAATTACAAGCAACATTTCCAAAAATAGAAGTCAGAGGAGATAAGATGTTAAGATTTTTCAGACAACAGGTGTTTGAATAGTTCTGAATTTTAATTTGTGTCTATTCAAAGAGAAATCTGTATTCCTAATACATAGTAGTTAATATAAGTTTCAAGTTCTTGCTTTCTTACAAGTTTTTTTTTCCATTTCAATGTGTTTGCCAGTTAAAATGGATCTTAGGGAAGAAACAAAAGTGTATCTTGACCGTGTAATGTATTTAAACTACAAATAGCCATGTTTATATGTTGCCTTCCAGTACCTCAAGGGTACCTGCAGGAAAAGTGGCGCTTTGAGCAACCTGGTCTAGAGTGAGGTGTCCCTGCCTATAGCAGGGGTGTTGGAACTAGATGATCATAAAGGTTCTTCCAATCCAAGCCATTGTATGATTCATTCTATGATTCTATATTAATTTTTATTTGCTTAAAGTGCATGATTGAAGGAAATCTTTTCTTCAGAGTCACCAAGACCGAATATTTAAAAAAATGATTTACATATTTCCCTGGTCAACAGCACATCTTTCTAATGGACCAAACTTTGTTTAACTTTTACTACATTTATTTCAGTGATACATGCTGTGATTCTTAGGGAACTTTATGAAAAGACATTTAACTGAAGTAAAGACACTCGGAAAGAAAATGACCAAAAGAAATATGTATTTGCAGTGAGACAGAATGACTGTATGCTGTCTTACCTCCAATGGAAATGACTGCATTGAAGCACTGGTCCCTAAAGGGAAGGTTAAGGTTGTCACAAACCAGAACTTCTTCACCTCTCTTCCTTGCAATTTCTACCAATGGTCCACAGTAATCACAGCCAAGATTGTACACCTGACTGTTGACACTGAGATATTTTCCAGTTCCACAACCTGAAGAAAAGAATACTCTTTAGTAGATCAGAAGCTGTCTGTTCCTCCCAAAACAGTGAAAATAATGGGGAGTGAGGCTGGGGGTGAGTTTTCTTCTCTGTTTTATCTTCTGTTCTAAGATTTCCTGAAAATGTGTGTTTGCTACTACTAGCCGAACTCCTGCAAGATTAATTTGGACTGTTTGAAATTATTCGTTCACATCATTAGGAATGTAACGGTACAAGTATCACAAATAAAAATACTCATTACATAGCCCTGTGCTATACTACGCTACATGAGGCAATGCATGCCTGGAGAGTACAGCTACGTGCAGGTGAGAGGAGGAATGAGCGGTCCTCTGCAGCCACCGCTGCGTATCTCAGAGCAATGTCTTTTCAGTGACCTACAATAAATCTCTCTGACAAATATTTCCATAGACTCTGCTAAATCCCACCCAGTACCTCTCCAGCACGTCTCACTTAAAGGGAGCCAGGCAGAAGGAGGAACTAATTGGCTCAGACTCAGCCAGAAAGGTCTCTGACTGCATGGCAGAAGAAAGGATTTGCTTGCAAGAAATCTGAAACCATGGCACAAGGCATGCATAACTGGCACAAGGCAGGGAGGAGCATGTCAACTTGAGATAAAGTCTTGACAATACTTAATTCTTAACAATTCTTGACAAGCTGAGGGCATGTTCTTTCTGTCTTTGTTCTGTTGTATTGGTAATACATGTAAATGTAATGAACAGTCCTAGAATATTTTCCACATATAAGTGTGTCAACTAAAAGACTGTGCTAAACTAAGTTGAAATTTTTCAGAGTGTTCTCCACTACCATATGCATAACAGGCATTTTTCGAAATTAGATTAGAAAACATTCACTGCAGTTACAGGTCAGTAGTGAAAAATAATTTCTGGAAGTTGACAGCCAAGCAACAGGGTAGCAGCTTGGCAAAGAGACCTATCTCTGTACTGGTAATTCAATTTAAAGGCCTGGAGCTATCTTTAGAAACGTCACTGCTTCTTGCAGCACTGCTGCTGTCATTGATGTTAATGTGCACCATTATCTGGAGAGACAGCACAGAAACTGCTGGAGAAGATCACAATGCTTCCATCCCGAAAAAGAGCAAAATCAAGCGTTTTTGTAGAAGGAACACATTAAGTCAAATTTGTATTCATTTCGAAGATTCAGTTGTCACATACATGTTTTTTGGTGGAGTGCTTTCTAATCACAGTTTCTGAAGTACAAGGTCTGCTCTGGAATGAAGCCATAGAGTGGTAACACTGCCAGTACTCTCAAAATCTACATTTGCAGGAGATTCACTTTTAAATGAGTCATCAGGAGGGTGGATTCCTTCATGAAGCTGTTAACAACATCCACGCTATTGCCATTTATTCTGATGAATGAACAATAATAAGGCAATTATACAAAATGATATTTCATTCTGCTACTGTTATCATTCTTCATGGCAAACAAAAATATTTTAATAAAAGGTGGTGCTAAACAGAAAAAAAATTATCAGTTGAACACCTTATTTTGAAAATGTTGGTGCTACTGCATAGCCCTCCTCTCAAAATGCATGCTAAAAATAAACACTGCTGTCAGATTCCCATAGGTCTTATTAAATCCCTTAAGAGGAGGTACCTTGTGTGCCTTGATGGGAATACTTCTATTGGCAACTGTAAGCATTTGCCTTCTGACCAGATGCTTCACCTGCATTTAAGTTATTTCAGCTGAAACTGTAATAGGGTGATCTTAAGGTTTCAGCTGCAGTCGTGACACTTGCTGATAAAGCCTCAAAGAACTTCAGCAAAGGTTTCAATGACTTTTACTGACATGACAAAAAATTTTGGCTAAGAAATACCATGTTTAGCCAACTGTCAAATGGGTGGATGCCATAGGATATTTCCTGAGATGATCAGTGAAAATGGTGCAGATGTATAAAATATACAAATATACATATCCAAAATGTTACAAGCCTAGCTTTTTTTTTTTTTTTTTTTTTTTTTTTTTTTTTTTGGAGGACTGCTTGACATCAGCAGAACTGATCTTTTGATTATGGTAGACAAAATCTTCAAAGATATTTTTCTCTGACAGGATCAGGCAGATATAGAATTTATTCTGTACAATTATTGCACCGTGCAGTGTAAATGCATTTTACAGTCTAAGAAATGAGAAAAATCCAATGATGCAAAGGAGCAACTAGTTTGCAGTGATGTGGTGTATAGGACTGAATTTATAACACAAACACAAAGCAAACTTGAGGACCTGGTAAACCTTACAATATCTGTAGGTGCAACAGAAAATGAAGATACAAACTAAACAAGTAAGAAAGACAAGGCCATAGGAGAGAATTGAGATTTCAATATCCATATTTAGGAGCATAGGGGGATTCTCATGACTTTCTGTAGTTGTTGTTGTTTTTTAACAATGAACATGTCAAAATATAAATATGAAGCCATGATAGGACGAGTTTTGGAACAAATGAAAAGTAACAAATTGCAGACCAGCAGTATTTAAGCAAAGAGTCTGAAAGAAACTGAAACACGAAATAATTGAGCTATATTGATACAATTAAAAAATAATAATAATAATAAAAAAAGGGAAGTGACTGACCACTAAGTGAGGAAACCAGTAGATTCAAGCTTAGGTCCACCAAAATAAGGTAAAAACTGTAGTTACTTGCTGCCTGGTACACCATCAAAGAAATAAAATAAATGGCATATGGCATCTAATATGGTTTTAAAAAAATTTTAAAGCAATCTCTAAATAAATTTAAAAGTTTTTTTCTCTAGCAAATATATGTGATTAATGTATAAACTACTAAAGTTTATGAACAATATTTCATGCTGTCCCAGGGAATGGCTTACCTATGTCAGCAACGAGACTGCCAGGCTTTTGCTCCAACAGAAAGTTTCTCACACGAGGCCATGCTTTGCTCTGCAGATCATTAAAGTAGGCAGCTGTATTTTCATACACACTATGCACATGCTGCTTTTCTAGCTGGGTAGCCTCATGTTCCATCCTGAAAACATAATGAAGATTATATGCAATGACGCACGAACTGTTGTAGACTATATTTTATAGACATGTATAATTCCTGAACTTGTAAGCTTATTTTTATAAAATCACTGCAAACATCTAATAGCCATCATATTTATAATATGTTTTTTAAACAAGGGATCTGTTTTTTTTCCAGAAACTTTAAGAAAAATTTTGAATTTATCATCTTCCTTCAGAAGCATTATATAGCCGCATGTACTGTTCAACAATATGCATATTCTTCAGTAATTTGACCAGTGCAGTAAAGGCTTATCTGCTGCCAAAACAGAGTATGTATTCAGCAGGAGAAGAGAACTAGGAAGTTAAGAATAGACTCTCCAGCAAGTAGATAGGCAAGCTCTTATTATGGTGTTTTTCAAATATAGCCTGGACCCTGAAAGAGGGTCCGTAGACTTTGGCTTCAGTGATGAAATGGCTGAGACTTACACAGGAAAAAAAAAAATCAGGATTTCTCTACCTTTGCTTAACCATTTTCATTTCATTCAAAACGCCTATCATACAAACACTATCTTCTTAATTTTTAAAATGGGAATTAATTCCAGTGACCACAAAGAAAGTATTTATGTGCTTTACATTAAGTGTATGTGAACACTTATAAGAATAGTATTTATCCATCTTGCTGGTTTTATGTGCTCTGCTATGTCAGACCAAATTGTCCCAGTGGTCTATTCAGACTGTACCTATAAATCATACCTATTTAATAGTTCTCTTCAAAACATTTATGCCAATGTCTTTACAACACCTATTTTCATTTTTCTGGCCTGATCTACAGTTTTCTTTTATGATACATTAGCTGAGGTTTTACTAGCTAAATATATATGTGTTTGTTTTTATATAGGTATATATAAATACATGTGAGAAAAAATCAGTAACAGACTAGCAAATTCCCAGTAGCCAAAACTTCAGTGTTACCCTGAGGAGCATAAAACTATAACAGACTGAACAAGAAAAGCAGATACTATTGGAAATACAGACTTGAAATGATATCACATGACAGAAGTAACTCAGAATTTTTCTCAGAGTTCTATTTCAAGCTGTGTTGTCAAATAGAATGAGTTAGTTGCAGCAATTTCAAATAATTACTCCTCAAAATCTAAAGCCCTTTTTTTTTTTTTCTTATTTGACTCTTAAATAGAGCAGATCGTGTTTCATGTTTGCAATTATCTTTCTTCTCTACCTTGAAACATACTCTATTTTGTTGCTCAGTTGCCCAGAAATCTTCTATTTATACGTAGAAATTCCAAAGACTAACAGTTATTTATCTTCTTTTATCATTTTGTATGTTTCTTGTTCTAGTTTCTGTTTCATGTTTGGTTACTATTGTGGTTCAGTGTTTACAAGTGTTTTTGTCTTTCTACTTGAAGTTGTTTGCTCAATCTTTGCAGTTCTTTAAAAACAAAACAAAACAAAACAAAAAAAAAAAAAAAAAGAGAGATGGAGAATATTTTCAACAATTCATAGTGATTTCCAACTGCTACAGAAATTTCAGTTTATGACAACTACAGAAATAGCTTCCTGAACCGAAGCTTAATTTGGTTAACACAAATTAATTTGTTAAACACAAAAGCCAACTTGGACATGACACAGAAGATGTTAAGAAGTTCCCTATTGATGCAATATTCTACTACATTTTTCATGAAATGTCTTTATTTAATCTAAATATAGGCTGAAAATCAGCTTTGTTTTTTACTGAATCACAAGCCCATTACATTTTTGCCTTAACTTTCCCATTCACTGAGGCTGCTACTGACTCTTCTATACTGGACATGTGGGAGAGTACCACAGCACTATTTTAGAGGTTATTATTTTTGGATACATTTTATAAACACTATCAAGATAACGACTTGGCTATAATGTTAGAATAACAGTATTCTACCAAAATGCAAATAATTTCATGTACCAGTTTATTACAACTTCCGTTCCTGCTGATTATACATATTTTGCAGGCAATTAAGTCACATGATGAAATCAGACTTGCCAGTTTGACTTTCCAGTCAAAGCCCTTAACTCTGTCAGGCTTCATTTTGCAGCACGGCAGGGAAACGCCCTAGCAACAAACCTCTTCATTTCACTGTTTACAGAAGGCAAGAAACCTGTGGAGACAGAGTTGACCTACAGCTGTATCAGTACTACACAAGCCTGATGTCAGTGAAGACGTAAAGCTTAGAACTATCTAATTATGCAAGCCAGAGACAGTACCTCAATTTTTCTTTGTAAACAAAACCAATCATCGCAACCCTTTTGCCTTAAAAATATCAGACAAAGTCTCTGCTGCACCTAAACCGTAGAAAATGTTCAGTTCATCCAAATCCTATCTTGTGACTTCCAGGATGATGGGAACATCTGTTTTGCATAGGAGGTAATGAAAATGTAAGATTTCCAGAAATCCCACTGCTTCAGCATCTGCTCTGCTCAGGTTACACGGAAGCTATCCAATTAGCCAGAGAAAAGAAGAGCAGAAGGTGGCGATTAATGTGTACGCTTTCCTCACCCTCAATTCTTTATTTTCTTGTGTGGTAGCTCATACAGCTGCCAAAGAGCTCTTGCAGAGACTAGGTGCAAGAGCATGAAGGGCACTACGAACTGTCAGCCAGTTGCTTAGTGACTGCAGGAAGTCCCCAAAATAGGGAGGCAGCTCTAGAAACATGGGACTCCAACAAACTGTTTGCATAACAGATGAAGAGTAGGATTTTCTCCTCTGCCAGTGCCTCCTGGTTCATCTATGTTCACTCACAAGACTACAACAGGCCCTTGTTGTGCATGATCTATGAAATGAAAATAATAGATGGAAGCTGCAGTGTAGTCCTTGTTGCTCTTGTGGGGAAATGGATCATCAGTCCGTCACATGAAACTGTGGCATATGAATAAAAATGACAGAAATTAAACAGGTTCTTTGACTGTCCTACAGAGCTGGTTTGTTTTTCTTTATTAAAACAGGTAAAAGCAAAATAAGTTAAAAAAAAAAAAAAAAAAAAAAAAAACACTTAAAAATGACAGCTTCACAGGGTGTAGAAATAATTGTACTAACATTCCATACATATTTTATAGCTACACACCTCTCTAAAAGTTTTCTGAGTCCAAGGGAATCTACTTTCTTCCTTTCCCATTAACATTTTGAAACTGTTTAAACAATTGACTTTTCAAGGGTATGCCTTTAAGGAAAGTCATGTTGCTTGGACTTATTCTATCACTGCTGAAGCATTTAACTACATGACCTTGAAATGAAAACAGAGAAAATTAATAATCCCAGTTTACAACATTTTAAAAAGTCAGGATTTTCTTTTCCTAGCCTTTTTTTTTTTTTTTTCTTTTTTTGGGGGGTGAGGGAATTTGGAAGTGATTTGGCTAATTGTATTAAATACCTTTGCCTCAAGAGGTCAAAACAGCTGTTGCCCCTCAAACACAAGGGGTGCCCTAACATTAAAATGCAGGCAGTAGTGTTCAGTCCAAAAACTCCGCCATTCACTTCAAGTTCCATTTAAGCCAAAGATTTTCACATCATCCTCTGTCTACCTTCCCACATGTTATTTCACCACCACTGTTTAAAATTGATGCATAACACTTGAAGTCTTCAGCTGGCTCATGCTCAGTTCTCCCTGTGACTGCCTCTTTGGCCAGGCCAGTCACAATATCCAGAACATGCTACAAACTTCTTGTCAGTGGCCTCTAGGAAACATCCTGTGATTTTCATGCTAGACATCAAATCCTGCATCCCTTCTATTTCACTTCAAATCAATTGCTCTTGATTAATTTGATCCACGGGCTTTCCCTTACTTCTCTCTCTTCTAGCTGCCTGTTTTCTCTATCCCTTTGATGAACAGCAGGAACTTACTCAATTCAGCCTGAGTGTCAGATATGAAATATTTCGTCTCTTAATGAGGGCTTCTCTTATCTAAGCTCTTCACACACTGATGGGAATTCTCAATCCCATTTTGGATTATGAGACCTCCTACTTCAAAGATCTGTGAAATTCAGCACAGTTGTCTCTTCATGTTGCTACAGCAACACAAATCTTGGTTACGCATGCAACTGCAGCTATGGATGTAATAATTTAAATAACTTTAAATATAGAACAATATAACCACAAGGGCAGATCTATTTCCCACACTACTCTGCTCTCCAGCAATAACAAGAGCAGCTATAGCCAATACTAACTAAATAAAGAGTGACAAAGTCCTACTGATTCTGTCCCCCCACCTACAGGACAGGGAGAACTGTCTATAATGGTGAGCAGTGCTTGCAGTTAACCACCAAGTAAGTTGCTTACAACTTACCAGTCTTTTCATTCAAAAATATGTAGCGGTGGAAAAGCTACATGCACAGCCAATGGTAAGAAGCAACTGCAAAACATCATAACACTTCTTCTCAAAACCTGACCAGTTTTCTTTGTCAGAGCTTTGCCCACGCTTAAGACTGATTCTATAAAGCACAGTAATAATGTCCATTCTGATTTACAGTGTTTTATTTCATTAATAAAGGCGACAAATACGAGTGTGATTTTAGACATGAATCATTACATAAAACAGGCTTACAAGTAAATAAAGGATAATGAAACAGAATAAAAGGAATCCTACTGTGAATTGTTAAACGAGATGCAATCCATGTTAAGCAAAAGGTTACAGAAGACAGTTTTCTTAAGTCTAACAACTCTGGTAATTAAGTTCACCCACGCATGAACAGCAACAATTCCATGAAAATGCACAGTGTGAAATCAGAGCAAGAGGAAGGCCATGCAGTGTGTTTAAAACCTTACTGAACTGAACTCCTGATTCAGTAGCATTGTTCCAGTAAAATTTGGCAAACTGAAGTGAAAAACAAAGATTTGAGACAAGTTTAGAATCACTGTTACTCAAAATGTTCAGTGTGAAGCTAGAAATTTAAAATAACTTCATTAATTGAAATAAAATCACTATAATCATACTTTTTTTTTTTTTTTACTGATAAATAGAATCTTGCTCTCAT